GCTGTAAAACAGCAATTATGCTGAGTCAGGCTTCATTTTTAGTAATCTTTTCCTGTTAAATAAATAAATCAAACCAAATCAAGGGGCCAGAACATCATGCAGCCTTCCTAACATATTTTGACACTGCGATATGGTGACAAAAATAATTGTCAGATTACATAGGCATATGTTCTGTATATAAAGAAAACAATCACTTCTTTGAGCTTGGGGATGTTTCAAACTGTTAAACACCGCCACCAACTGTTCAGGAGGATTATTACACCCCTAAAGTTTGTTTCACTGTGGAAGGGGTGTGTACAGCAGGGTGGCCAAAGATTTGTCTGTGGTGGCCATGGCCACCCCCTGGCTCCGCCCCTGAGTGCAGTCAGGGAGTGAGACACAGGTGTTTGGTTACTATATAATGAGCCACTAGCAGCTACTTTAGCATTTTATTTTTTCTGGTTCTTTTTAAATCTTCTTTTCAAACTTGCAGTGTGTCTGAATAAAACTAGCTGATGTTGGCACTGAGGGCAGCTGCTACTTCGACACCCGTCAGAGATTCTCCAGAAATCTTCCAATTTCTCTTTTTTTTATTTCAGATTCAAAAAGACATCAAGTGGAAATGTGCTCAGTCAGGACTCCGTGAAGAAAGGCAGTCGAGATGATTTCCAGCAAAAAGGAAGCAGCTCTTTCCCTGGGAGGACAGATGCAGTCCAAGCAGATGAGAAGAAAGACGGAGAGGCAGAGAGACGTCCAAGCCCTGAGGGACACATGACATCATTGGGGACAGAGTCTGAGTGGACAGACAGAGGTGGAGCCAAACAGAAAACTCCAGGAGAACTGATGGAGGGTAAATCAGAAACTAAGGCCAGGTGAGAGCAGCACAGTAAAGTATATTTTATTATTTGATCAGCGCACATTTACTGACTCTTCTTCCTTTCTTCTAACAGCACAGTGAGTCCAGACTTCATGTCTGCTTGTCATTTTCTCAGAGATCATTTAGACAACATGGACAACCCCAGCAACGACACAGTGAGCATCCTTTCATCAATCTAAAAAAATAACCTTGATAAAGGAAAATCACAGTTTTTATTGACAGGCTGCTTAAATTGTTTGTGTTATAAAAAATAGGACTAAACATAATAAAGATAAGGATCTTCCTGTAAGTCTTATCTTTAGTTCTGTTCAAAGCTTTAGAAGATGGAATAAAACACTGAAATCCACTCCATCTCTCTTCTTAGAGACCCTGTAGTGACAAACAGAGGCAAAACAAAACCTACAAATGGAAATAAATGCATGATAAGCTTTAACATATATTACATCACATGGGAGAGAACAGCAGGTTTAGGAGTTTAACCAGCACAAACTGAAAACTGAAACATTAACAGTTTTACTCTAAAATACTTACATGGTCCTTTTCTGCAGGAAACATGTTGAGAGTCATCATTGATCTGATCCAGAGAGGGGAACCACAGAATTACATATTATTTTTTATTAGATTTTAGGTTTAATAAGACTAAAACAGCCATCACCTTTAAAAATAAAAAAGAAACCCATAGAAGATGGACAAGACAAGTAAACAACAGCATACACTAAAGTGTATCCATCAAACCAATGACTTGTTGCCAATATTCTTTCTTGTTTAGTCAAGATAAACCTAATTGTCTCTACATTTCCGAAGTCTCTCAGCCACATTTCAAAAGTTGGGGGTTTATCAGACTTTCAGTATAAAAGTTTGACCCTTCTGGCCACTAATAAAACTAGTGATAAAACTTTCCATTCGTTCTTGTCCTGGTTCAGTCACCACAAATAATACTGTGAGGGTGGTACATGGGACCTCCCTACCAGGTACTTCAATGAAAAAAAAAATCAAACGAATGATTCCAGAAAAGCTGTAGTTTTGGGGATTGAAAGAAGAAATGACAGCATTAACAAGTATAATTTGTAAGTTGTAGGTGTAAGCCTTTCTCATACTGAATACTAACCCCACTAACCGTTCCACAACTGATCCTATTATGTGGCCGGAACACAGAAAACAGGGAAAACCTCCTTCAGTGTGAAGGAAATCCTAACGCTGCAACAATCACACTAAGCCAGGGATGTCCAAAATGTGGCCCGGGGGCCGTTTGTGGCCCCTGAACTGATTTTGTGTGGCCCCTGACTTCAGTTCAAGAATTATATTAATTTGTTTACAAATTTGTCCCCCCTGAACAGGTGTTTGATGTAGTCAGAGACTTTCTATTTATTATTAGGGCAAATTTATCACAAAGTAAAATCTTATAATAACAAATATTTGGCAACAATACCAATTATTTGTCTTTAAATAACCAGACTCTTTTTCCACATCTATCTAGTGACTTCTACTCAAAAGGTGATTTTCTGCACTCCAATCTGCTTTTAATTTATTTATTAAATTCGTCTGAATACAGCATGCATTTTCAACGAAAGAGTGACCTCAATCCTGATTTTATTTATCAGAATTGACTAAATTGGGTTAATTTTTTCCCCAATTGAAACCAAGAAAATTGCTAAATTTCTTTCAATAAGGGAAACCAGCAAAACACTTTTAAAGTTCTGGATCTAGATTAATTTACGCATCCATTTCCAGCAATAAATCTGACTACTTCATTTGTTTAATTAAAGTATTCAGTGCTTCATTTATTTTTGAGCAGGTAAAGTAAAAATATTTTTGGCCCTCAAGTCCTTCTGACTTTATGATTGTGGTGCATGTGACAAAATGTTTGGACAGCCCTGCACTGAGCAGCACATGCAGCCCTGTTTCGACTCTTAAAGTGTATCTGGATGCAGCTATGAGCTAAAAGATTAAACCACAGCAGCGGGGTCATGGGGTCATGGCCGAGGCATGAACTGCATCAATGGGTGCAGGACCCAATCACGCATCCACAATAATAAAGCACCACGACCTCGACATGTTGAGCACGCTCAGACCACTCTACACTTCATTACCTGTGATGACAAGCCCACTATGTTCTTTATCTGCTGCTGAAGACCTTGAAAAGATGCAGCAAATACCATCTATGTCCCAGCTAACAGTTTACACACAGCAAGGTCATCTTCAGTCATAAGGGGGGGCCAAAGGAGGAAGAATATTTTTAGACCTGTGGCGAACCAACTCCTCAAAATCCAAATCATTTGCTCTAAGAGAAGTTTTTAGTCGTAGGCAGCTCCAGACAAAATTACAGTGTGGTTATATTTCAGAACTCTTGCTCCAGGCACCCAAAACCTTTTCTGTCAAACTAAAAAAAGGAGTTTCAGAATGTGGTTTTTGTGTATCTACACGTGTATGTTGGGTTGATCCTGGTTGTGGAGTATACAGGAAGCACAGTACATGATTTAGGTTTTCCTTGAAATACTTGTTATAAGAGGCCAGGTAGCTTTAGTTTGTAGGTCCACAGCAGAACTTCATCTGGAAATGTTGCTCTGTGGCTGATTAAGGGCTCGACACACGGGAGGCGACGTCGCTCGCTCTCCATTCATTTCCTATGGAGCCTGTGCGGTGAGGCGACAATCGCTTGCCCTCCTCCAGCTAAGCGACCGGCGAAAATAGTGCATGTGAAATTTCGCGCTTGTACATGTAGACGTACACACGCGAGCTTGAGACGCAACACATGACAGTTGAAAAATGTTCAACTTTTGTTGCTGTCGCTTAGCGTACAACTAATCAGCGAGGGTTTCAT